AATGTGAATGAATAACTAACATTATATGCAATGGTATCATGTACTCTTATGATAAATTGACTACTAAACAATATCAAAGTAATGTACATGAAATCATAATGTTATATCACTTTACTTTACTAATGTACAAATAAAACAGAAAAATCCACCAAAAAATGTTTTGATTTGTCTTCTTTGGAATTGTTTTTCTTTTTAATTGTTTTTTGTTAAAAATAGATATTATTTAAAGGAGTGATGCAATCTTCGCGAAGATAATCATGATCAGCATTATATGATGCTGGTCATTTCAAATCTCAAGAAATTTAGGGCATCCAGGAAAGATGTCGGTCTCGTGAACCTTCAGAAAATTATAATGCATAGTGATGTCATGTACCTCCTAATGATGCTTCTTTCGATCATGAAGTACAATCTGCCGGTTCAATCATGTCGACAAAAATGCAAACAAAACTCTCCAATAACCTCATGGGGGCGTCGTCCCCTTCTCCCCCTTGGATACATTGGTGATACCTTTTTGCGTCTGACAGGCATTTCAATAAATAGATGGTGGTGGTGGTTATTTTACCTGACTGCTAAGAAAGCATAAATGCTTGTAAGTAAGCAACCAGACGGCCGACGGCTTTAGGTCCTCTCCGAGGGACCTGGTAATGAGGATTAATACCTTACCAACTATAGCGCATCGTCTTGGTTTCGAACCCGGGTCACCGGATTACGAGACCACTGCTCTACCGACTGAGCTATCGCGCCTCCTATATGTTGGCATGACCCCTAAATATGGATCCACATTTTTAAAATTTCAAAAATGTTCCGGATGTTTGCCATGCAAACACACGTAATTTTTGAAAAATTGGCTTTACTTCGAGAAAAATCCGCCAAAATGACCCTTAAACAAGGTTTTCGAGGCTTCAACGGCACACCCCCGCCAAAACCAAATCTGAGTACCCCCCCCCCCCCCCCCCCCCCCCCTCGCGACTGAATTATTAGGTTATAACGTACAATTGCACATAATGATACATTTAAGTCATAACTAATGCGACAAGGGGAATTCCCTCTTGAATATCCCTGCAATAACTCATTGCGAAGATTATAATGTATTGCTGTCATTACAGTAACATAGTACATCACCCCCTTGCAAGCTGAAATGCTCCTGCAATGTGAGTTATATAAGGATCTTCCCGCCCCGCCCAATATCTCTCTAATGAGCTCCAATCATTGTAAACACATAACTCTTTCATTCATACACCCACGGAAGGTCGAAGGCTAGACATCCACAACCTACCGCGGCGCTCCTTCGACAGACACCCTTTTACGGCGAACGAGACGGTCGCGCGCTCTCGGACGACCGAGCCACGCCCCCATATCGGGGGGGAGATGAAAGATGATACATTCACCCCTGCATAACGCTGTCATGGTGTTGCAACGCGAGGCATGCCAAGCGTGTACCGTACGTGCCTACGGAGCTAGCAGGTGTATGCTACTTCTATATGAAGGAAATGTTTTCACGGGCGGTGGGGTAGCTATAAGAAGGTGATTGGGGAACGCCCCCCCCCCCCCCCGCGCTATCACAGCCGAATAACATACAGATTACAGAGTATATAGCAGGGGAACAAAAAGAAAGGGAATGGAAAGATGACACAAATTTGTTTAAACATGGGCATTCCTATTCTTTGGTCATTCATCTTTATCAGTAACTTCGCTGGTGGCACGAGAGGGGGTGGGGTGCTGTACGGTACAGCACCCCAAAGGCACCCCCCCCCTCTTATGCCACCAGCGAAGCCTTCTCAGTACGCCACTATATAAAAAACATGTTGCTTATTACTCCCAATGGGCCACAGAAAAAAAAGGGAGAAACTACAGGCCAAACCTTGTCTACTTTAAAAAGTGTAAACAATATCAATGTGCAGTGCAGTGTCAAAAAACAAAACAACAACAACAAAGTATGTACCGTTTGACCTTTCTCGTTCTTTGTATGTCAGTTAGTGTTATGGAGATATCATGTAGAAGAATCTCAAAGTCTCCTGGAAAAGAGTGGTTTTAAATGCCCTCATATTTGAAATATGACGAGAAATAGTTGAAGGGTTTGAACCACACCTTCATACCGCAGTTACTTTTTTTTGTAGATCACTCCATCACCTCACAGTATTACCAATTCGTATGTAACTGCATAACTACCTTTCTCAATTCCTTCATTGCAATTTATTTTACAATGTCATCTCATTACCAGTACTCTACTTCATTTTTAATTACAAGTGAAATGAGTTCTGTAGCACTTGGGTATTAGATCAATTACATCTGTCAAATACCATACACCTGCGGAATAAAGAACATGGACATCCCACGGTGATGCAATGGCACAGCTTACTAAACTGCGACACAGTTAAACGCAACAGGGGAAAGTTTGAACCAATGGCAATGCTAGACCATGATTTGAATAGGGATTAGACAGTGGGGTGTCGAACAAAATTTGGCGAGGAGTTAACTGAGAGCTTTTCACCCACCCTCTTACCACCTCAAAATAAAACAAAGGGTCCTCGAATTCTTAAAGATTGAAAATAAATATCAAATGAAAATATGATTCTGTTACATTATGATGGGATATATTTATGTCAATGAGTTGAATTCCAATGTTTTCGAAGTAGTCAGCGCAACGCAACATAATTTATGAATAATATTGCATTTTCAAGCTCATCAAACTGATATTATACAAATCTTTAAGACAAAAGATAAAACCTGCAAAATAAATGTGGTATGGATCTATTCCCGTTCATGTACCGTGCAACAATAACAATCTAAATAAATGATAAACACTGATTTGAAAAATAATAACAAATCAAATGAATTTTATTCATATCGAAGAATGCGATATAAAATAACTTTCTTACATTAAAAATCTTGAATTTACATTGTGATATATTGAACTTCAAATTTAGTTTAAATAACAAAAGATACGCTTTGCATTATTATCCGAAAAAGGTAATAGAATGAGAAAAAAACATAAAAACGTAAAAAAATAAATACGAAAAGGCCAAATAGGCCTATTAAATTTAATGAAGTACGAAGATTACGAACACTTTTTAAAGATGTAAATCTACCGCATAAGCTATACGCGCATGTTTATGCAGCATATACCGTCGTGAGAAAAGATCCCTATACGTACAAATCAAAAACTTTTTTAAAGATAGAATATTTTATGCCTTCTATTGGTTGAACATAAAAACAATATTTATATATGAAATCATTTTATGCTCACTTCAAGCTATATTAAAAATGATGAAATATTAAACAATATTATAATTATTCTGTACAGTACGTTTAATGGCATATACACATTATATAATGTATAATTATATTCCAAGTGCTCTCTTCATACAAAATCAATATATTAGTTGGGCGTAATTTGAGTTATGTAAGAGTAAGAATTACATTGGAACAGCAGGATATATCAAAAAGTTTTACATGTTTGAGGCCTTACAATTCTATATCTAACCGTTGCTGTTCTTCAGGAAAAAATGAATGATAATAATAGTATAAATTTAAAAAAAAAAGAAACACATGTTAAGTTAGTTATGTAGCTGTATAATGAACAGTTTACATTATGGTATCATATTGGAAATTAGCCTTTAGAAAAATAATATATATAACGGTGGAAAATGATGTACAGCCGATTATCTAATTTAAGAATAGCTTCTTCCAAAATACGAGTGCATTAATGTTATTTCTTAATGCACCTATGTTCGAGATATTAATTTATTTACTACTACTACTTCTACTAATACTACTACTACTACGACTGCTTCTATTAAGACTACTAATTATAATAATGATAATAACAATACTAATAATGATATTGATAATAATAATTATGATAATAATAACAACAATAATAATAACAATAATAATAATGATAAAAAGAGCGGTTACATTTTTATTAGGCACATATCAATGATTGCCATTTTGTGAGAAACTGGTGAATTGAATTTCGATTGTAATCAATTATGGCGTCATAGTTTGGAATATGGATATTTTGAACTCGCATGCAATATTCATGGAATTTCTTTCGTTGAAAATTAGTGGGAATCAAGTTGATATGATAATAATTGATTAAATAAATCCATATAAAATCGATTAACTGTCCTCTGTAAGCTTTAAGGATGTAAATGATGTTCAATAGTTATAGGCTCCTCGATCTTACTCCTATAATGAAGTAAACTTATCTTTGTGAAATTTGAAAAGGTCTATATTATCGCCTTGTGTTTCCACAGTTTGAGTCTTCAATTGTCCAAAGTTGTCTTGACAGTGCTCACAAATATTGTTTGAGCGTGGAAAATACCCAAATAATGCACCCCTTTTAGGATATCTTGAAATATTGTTTCTGTTCTAAGCATTAAAACGGATTAAATCAGATTCTCGTAATTTCGATATTTTTTAAAATCTATAATTGTCAACTTTATAACACGCAACTAAATGGTAGCCCGACTAAGATGTGTGAGCCACATTGCCCGGATCAGTTAAGCGGGACTGCACTACTTGTAGATACTTGCACCCTTGTATAACCAACAATACCTAAGCGGTACCCGTTGATCCCCGTGGTCCTCTTTTCCCTATGTTAATTGAGAGTTGATTTGATGAGATAACCACCCGTCAGTAACCACGTATGGAGGTCTAATCCCTCCTGGCCAAACTAGTGCAGATAGGCTTTAAGTCCCGGGAACGTAAGTTGAGATATCATCGTATATCAAGGATAATCAGAAAATAGTTTTCAAACGTAGAAAGAAAAATATCAGAATCAGCAATTCTGCTTCCCTCCAAGCAATAATGGAACAGTCCTGAAAAACTCTCCAACCAATCAGCGTTGCCAATATGGGTCATAGCACTCAATCCAAGGCATTCCATTGTTGTCCTTTTCGTTGTGCACTTGTTGTACTTTAAAGAATTGTTTTTTCTCCAATGGGTGTTATTTAAACAATATGTTTTCAGCATGACCGGTTTCGTCATATACGAAATTAATAGATAACAATAATGAAAAAACAAAAAACAGAATAAAACATGACTTCAGACGCTATTACATTGAGTCCTCGCGTCCCTCAGTAAAATTCAAGTGGACGAATCCTTAGGTACCTTGACCAATCAAATATTGCGCTAGTTCCTGTACGGTATTGTTCGCTTTTCCGGCTACATGATCTGTTCCGTATACTCCGATGACAAGAGCTATAGGAAGAAAAGGGAGATAACACTCATTTTAACCATGGTTCAATAACTAAACCATTAATTCATTATTAATAGCGGAGATCAAAACATTTTTTTTTAATTGTCATCACAACATTGGAAAAATTGGTATTACACTTATGAATGTTTTACAATTGCATATTGTTTATTTGTATTATTGTGGTTCTATGTAGTGTATTTTTGTTTATCATGGAAATGCTTTTGTAAAAATATTGCACAATTAAGCTCTCGGACTGTGATGCATTATGTTATTAATTAGACAAACCATTAATTAATTAAATAAATTAACCAATATATTATAACAGAATTTAATGAAAATGCACATATTTTAAGAAAAAAAATGCATAACATGAATTTGACCCCCCAAAATCGTACACTTTTCCCTCCTTGCATAAATTCAAAGATAATTTCTATTTAATAAATAAATGAAATCGAATTAAACATTATGATATAGTTACTTGTAGGAGTTATCATATACGACAAATCCTTATTAACTATTACTGGAAACTCAAAATCCATGTTTTAGTGTATTAACACTGGACTCTTATTGTTCGTCATTAACCTGCCTTCGAATTTACTTAGTTTTAGTGAGACGTTACTGATATAAGTTGTGAATTGAGAAAAGTTTATTAGTTAGTTATTTTTTTTGTAAAAGCTTATCTGTACTAGTTTATAGGAGGGATTAAACCACCCTGCAAGGTCACTGGACAGGTGGTTATCTCATCAACTCAGCTCTCAAATAACATGAGAAAAAGAGGATCATGGGGGACCAATGGTCACTGATTAGGCATTGCTTTCTATATAGGGGAAGCAAGTAGCTACAAGTAGTATAATGGGCCTTTAAGTTTGTTAATTTTTTGAGGGATAGGGGGAGGGGGTGGAATCCGATGTCCAAAAGGTTTCTCACAAGTAAAAGTAAAAGCAGCATGAGGTTCAATTTCCAACTCCCCTGAAATCTTTAGCCAATCAAAAACAAAAGGGCGTCCAGGCCCCCAGGACGCCTCCGATCCGCGCCCTTAAATTCCTATACGTACCGGTGCTACTTTTGCCTACACACACTCCTGTGCCTTGTTTCCTGGCCAAGACAGCGTTATCGTCTGCTCGAAGAAGCACATATTTCACCCCGCCAATCAGAACGCCGTTTTCTCGCAATGACTCCGCAGTGGCCAGACCGCGAATAAGGAATCCGACTTCCCCGGCCGAAATCTGGATGGGGATGGGGGAGGGGAGGGGAGGGGATGCAGAGAAGAAGGGGTGATAGCGCGAGATAGAGAGAGAGAGAGAGAGAGAGAGAGAGAGAGAGAGAGAGAGAGAGAGAGAGAGAGAGAGAGAGATAGGGAACGAAAGAGGGCAAGCGAGGAAAACAAAGAGAAAAAAGAAAAGAAGAAGAAGAAGAAAAGAAGAACGAGAGGGAGAGAGAGAGAGAGAGAGAGAGGGAGGAGTTGGGGGGGGGGGGGGGGGGCGGAGAAAGCGAGAGAGAAAAATAAATTAAATGATTATTAGGAATTTAAAACCTTCCCATTTTGTTCCAACACACAAAATGACTTAAATGTCAATATTTCGCCAAATCTAGAACTCGGGAGTCTCTATCCTTTATAATGCCCTAAGACAGAAAGCACTAAAAAGAAAAACATAAAGTTTTTAATATTTCTGTACACAACATACGGAAGAGTTATTAGCGACGACCCAGTATCCAAAATGCAGATTTGAGATTTGCATAGCTTTAGATATTTCATATTTCAAAACTCATAAACCTCTTTTTATTGGTACGATTTATTTCAAACTTTCACCATTCTTTTTTCCCCACTGCCATACAAATTAAATTATTACAAAGCTTGGATTTCCCTTTAAATATATAGCTAAACAAATGGCGCACACGGAATTTTTTCCAGAGGTGACACAAGTATGAAACATGACGAAGAAAACAAATATTAAAAAAACAACATCATGGGGGGGGGGGGGTCCTGCTAGAGCACTCTCATTCAGAACATGCCCAACAGACTGAATTGGACCACATGAGTGGACACATGTCAGAGTCTTCATGCTTGTAGCAAAACGGCCTGGGCTTCCTGGGAAGGTTGTTGCCAGGAGGATGAGAGGACCAAACTTTAAAGGTAGTACAAAGTTTAAGTACGGGGTCATGAATTTGGTTCAAATGAACATATTGGAAGCATATGCGATCAAACAATATTCAGTGATCGTTGTCGCGGTTGAAATCGAGTCTAAAGTTATGAAATTGTAAATAATACACTCTTTATGTTGTATAGCTCTCTCTCAAGGTCAAGATATTAATTAAGCTATAAAACATTATTTATTGACTAAAATCGACCGATTAGCTATTCCTGTTTGGAAGTTGTATATCACAACTACATATTCTAACATTTTCATGGTCGCAGCTACCATTGTACGGCCGTAGGCACTATTTGAATTTATCAAAATTCACCGGGACCACCGGTAAATTTTTATATTCAATCTTTCTCAAAAGCAGAAGTGTTTTAGGGGCTAAATTTTCTAGTGCTTATAATACATCAACAGGGGAATCTAAATAAATCAAAATTGTAAAGAATCACTATCCACCCAATTTTCAAATTTCCCAAAACTTTGTATTACCTTTAAAGGTACTATGTCCCTTTTGCAGCCAACCTCAAATGCTGTAGAACTTTGCAGGAATTATGAATATGTCATGTATGTCCTATCTGTGACATTTAAACGTTAGCAGTGTCCTCATATTCAAATTATGCAAGGAAACCCGTTTACTTGCTAGACTTCATTGTCAGACACTATTGAGTGACTGACTGGCTTTTTTCTTCTTTGGTAATAACATACATGAAAAGAGTTGTAAAGGGTACATGAGCATTTTTCTACATCAATAACCCACTTCTTGTAATGGCCAAGATTAAACTGATTGAATCTTTGCGCAGCATAAAACGTATGACCATTCGGTACAATTGTCTGAAAATCAAGACTATTACTTTTGGGCTCTATAGCCCTAAAGTCGATTTGACAACTAATAGTCGTTATTTTCCCACTTGAAGACATTTTCAAGCCCCACCTTATTTAGGGAAGTTCTAAATTAGTATTATCTTTCAAATGCAATTGGAATTTAACTTTTTCATTTTTTGGCCTGCAAATGGGACATAGTACCTTTAAGACTATGGTTTCAGTCTTTCAGGGATAGCTGGTTCTGTTCGGGGGTCTGAACGTATATAAGGCACACACAGTTGGGTTTTGAAGGGAACAGCCTTGGCTGAAACCGTAGGCCTATTTGTAATATAGACGATTAAAAACTAAAATATTATAGTTAACAAATTGAACTAATGTGAAAACACTTGATAGCCACTTCATTAGGTCAACCTTTTTTAAGAATAGAATGAAAGAAAAGAGAAGTTTAGCAAGTAAAATGAATGGAAATTGAGACAAAGCTGTATATACCTTTAACTAAGCCTCATTTTCAAATATTCCGCTTAAACATTTACGTAATTCGTCCCTTGGCTCCCTAATATATACTGCTCTTTTTTGGTTATACGTCCCTCGTCTTATTTCGCCCATCTCGTTTTGGGGGCTTTTTACTATAGATGCCGTCAAATTTCACTGACATATATTTGTATAATTTTAGTTTAAATATACCATGCAATTGTATTTATATCTCCGTAAGTTATTTCGACTCTATTATTACTTTCATGGCATCGTAGCATTGTATTATTTGTATAACTCACCCTATTTTTATTGTTGATTGTTTATTATTTATGCCATGAATGTGAATGTGAAATATGGAATAAACGAAACGGTAACTGAAACTGAAACTGAAATTGAAAGGGATATAAAAAGCATATTAGTTGAAGAGATTTTAAGGATATACACCCCTGTAACAGGATGACAAAGAAACACAAACAAATAGATAACGACGATAAGCTGATAACAATTGTTTGTGAATATGGTATGGGAACGAAAATAACATGAAGTAAACAAACATAGAAACAATTAAAAACGAACTAGAAAGACCAAAACAAACAAATATATATGTGTATGATTATGTTACCTAAATACATGCACATGCATGCATACCTATACACACATGCATACATGTTCATTTTTAAAAATATATTTCAAAAACATTGACATACCTTAAAGTCGTCTGATGTTGCCCAAATAGCCCCATCCAGTCCGACTATGGCCGCATGGGTCAAATTGCCGGACGCCATAAGGGTTTTATCAATGTAATTCGTTTTCCAATCTGTTGCCATGGTGAATATAACGAGATGCGGATAATAGTCCCAAGTAGAAGGTATACCACCAAGAGAAGGGTGAATGATGCGAATAGTATACCAGCAAGATACCACTGGGAAGAGAGGTGATGTGAATATAATACCGAGTAAAAGATTCCAGCAAGGGAGGATGGATGATGCGGATAGTGTATCAAGGATACCACCGAGAAGAGGAGAGATGATGCGGAGAGTATTTCAAGTCGAAGATACCACCGAGGGGGAGAAGGGAGGTGCGGATAATTAGACCAGGTATACCAATGAGGGGGGAGATGGGGGGATGAGGTCATGAGGATAATGATTAGACAAAGTATACCAATGAGGGGATGGGGTGGGGGGGGGGGGGTGATGAGTAGAATGTTCCAAGTCGAAGATACCACCGAGGGGGAGATGGGGGGATGCGGATAATTATACCAAGTATACCAATGAAGAGGAGGAGCGGTGATGCGGAGAGTATTCCAAGTAGAAGAGGATACCACTGAGAGGGAAGATGGGGGGGGGGGTGCGGATAATTATACCAAGTATACCAATGAAGAGGAGGAGAGGTGATGCGGAGAGTATACCTGGGGGTGTTTCACAAAGATCCTAAGTCGAACTTAACTCTAAGTTGGATTTAAACATTATGGAGAGCCATTTGTAGCCTTGAAATAAAATAAATTCAAAGCAAAATTTCAAATATTAGATTTAAAAATAAAAAAATCCACATCAAGAACGTAAAAATCTCCTTGATAATTGAAAATATAAATGATTTGAATCAACATTCTATGCCTTTTAAATATAACTTTTACAAAATACTTTCAAAGATGCTAACGGCTTTCCATAATGTTAAAGTCCAACTAAGAGAAAAGTTCAACTTATGATATTTTTGAAACATCCCCCCCCCCCCCCCACCCATGTCGAAGATACCCAATGAGGGGAGTAAGGATGATGCGGATGTTATCCAAGTTTGATACCGATGGGGGCTGGAGCTGACTGACGTGTAAGATGAATCGGGGTCGTCTGATGACGGGCAAGGCGTGTGATGATGGGAGGATGGATGGATGGATATTTCACAAGGATGATTGTTAGTGTGTTCGGTGGTAGTGGTGGTGATGAGGAGTTTCAGATAAATTTAAGTTCTGGGTCATGTTTTGTAAAGAATAGCGATTGATTTAAACCAATCGCAACGTATAGTTTTTGGTAAGGCATTATTATTCTCATTACCAAGTCTCTCGGGGAGGACTTAAAAGCCGTCGGTCCACTGGTTGCTTAACAAGCATACAAATGCTTTCTCAGTGCTCAGTTAGGTAAAACAAACACAAAATAAATAAATAAAACTAATCGAAACTGTGTATTGTGAGAAAGTAGTTGCGAATAATTTCAAGGTTGCGACTAGAAACTGCAGTGTGTGGAAGTGATTTGAAGGGTTGATCATGTAAACTGAGGTTTTGGAATCGCCAAAATGGTGAGGAATTTGCTCAGCCTTGCTGAAAGTCACATGCACTGTACACAGAAATATGTTTCATGGGACTACACTGGAAATAAGCTCTCGAGCTTTCGTGGGTTATCCTGTTCAAGATGACTCAATTATGATCTGTTATTATTTTATATTGTTGTATGTTGGAGGCTTGGCGAATAAAATCAACAAATCAATCAATCAAAACACAAAATGTGACATGAAAGTTGAACTTCACTACTTTTAGCTGTTATTCAGCATAACAATATGGGGGCATTCGACGAGCCATCCTCTTCCACAATAACATGAAAATGAAATAAAAAGTTCAGATGTTTTTCACATTTCCCAGAGCTCAATCTTCTCTTTAATGATAATAATAATAATAATAATATTCCGCGTTTATACAGCGCTTAATACATCGGCGATGTCTCTAAGCGCTTTACAGATTTATCATTACCCCGGTCATCAGATTCAAGCTCGCCCGTACGCATGTGTGCACATTCTCCACTCCCTGGGGAGCATTCCAGCCAGGCGCCATTTTACAGACGCTCACAATGCTGGGAATACTACATTCACGTTCGCATCCTACCGGGTACCCATTTAGAACCTGGGTGGAGAGTGGCAAGCGTAGATTAACGTCTTGCCAAAGGACGTTAGTGTCGGACTGGGAATGGAACCCCATGTGATCTACAGTCCGGTGACTTATCCACTAGACCACAACACCTCTTTAAAAAAAGATCCTTTGCCATATCATTGGCGGCTATAAATATACATGTATTATACAGTACATTAAGATGGACAGTGACAGAAGGAAATTAACAGAACGGGGTGTCATGCCCCATTCATATACCAACGAGACGGATACAATATATGCCGAACTGTTCCTGAATAGCCCCCGACCGACCCCAATCAAGAACTCCCGACATTATATCCTATTCACATCAACAAGACCGATAAATGCCGAACTGTCCCCGAATAGTCCCCGGCAGGTCCCCGACCGATTACCGATAAACCCAGATATTATTGTCTATATAGGATGGATGATAGACATGATAAATAATTATGATATGTTTATGATGATAAAAATGATGATGATGATGATGGTAATACTACCTACTACTATACTACTTCTTCTATTACTACTGCTACTTCTACTACTTCTTCTAGGTTTGGTGTCGGTTTGGCAATGTGAATGGGGGTATGTATGACCCAGATAATGGGGACTCGGGAAGGACAGTGCCTTATTCCGACAGTGACACTGATGATGATACGGATGCCACCTAATATCAGTCTACATTCCTGCGACTGATTGATAATACCAGGTTGTGTAATGGATAGCTACATCACACAGTCACTTTATGTCGGTGGGGGGGGGGGGGGGCGTAGTGGGGGCGGGGGGGGGGGGATGGGTAAAGAGGGAGGTGGAGGGGTAGAAGAGGGGGGGGGGGGGCAAAGATGAATGGTGTGAGAAAGGGAATGTTAAATAGAAGGAGGCGAATGTGAGAGGTGAAGGGGAAAGCGAAGGTGAGATGAGAGCGGTGGGAGGGGGTGAATGACGGGGAGGGGGAGGGGTAGGGCAAGATTTTAGATGAGAATAGAGGGGTGAAAAAGGAGGTAACGAAGACGGATGTGTAGTTGGGTTGGCAGACGGGGAGGAGAGGGGAAAGCGGAGGAGGTGTTAGGGGGTTAAAGGGGGGGGGGTAGAGGAAGGCGAAAGTGATTGTTGAGGAGCTAGACGACAAGGAAGGGGGTAAGGAAGACATAATTACGTAGAGAAACAAATATGAAGGAGAAGAAGAAGAAGAAGAAGAAGAAGAAGAAGAAGAAGAAGAAGAAGAAGAAGAAGAAGAAGAAGAAGAAGAAGAAGGGGAAAAAGAAGAAGAACCAGAACGTCCATGACGTAACAATCATCCGCATCTCGCAACAAACGTATATCGTAAATTTTATGTGGTACACTTTTGAACTGGTCAAAAAATAAAAAAATTGATGCCCTGGAAGGGACATAATTTCATTTAGCTGTACAAGATTAAATAGAAACTAAAGGAAATGGAATGAAAATTGGTTGAAAAATATATAGTTTTATGACAAGCAGGACTCAAACTTAGTAAGAGATAAATGTAAACATACTCACCCTTTATTATGATAGAAAAGGACAGAGGTATAAATAGTCAGTAAATTGTCGACAGAAAAATATGGCAAAATAACAATTTTGTAAGGGACAAAAACGAGTTAGTGTGAGAAAATTGTTTTTAATATTTAAACAAATTGAAGAATTAGGAGGTAACAAGAGAATGAAAACAATGCATGCATACTACTGATGACTATTTAATTTCCAACCTCTCTTTTCTCCTCTTTTCAATCCACAAATCAAGTGTTTTTTTTGAGGGATCAAATTTGCAAATAATCGTCCTAATATTTTGGAATATATTTGAAAAAATTACCATAATTAATCAATGGAGAAAAATCTCAAAATTCTGTGTAGAATTTAAGTAAACCAAATTTAGCTCTACCAGATAAAGCAAACCAAATCAAAATCGGTCAAGAAATGAGGGAAGAAGCAATTTTTGTTTTTTCTGGAATAAATTTGCATAAATTACCATAATTAATTAATGGAGAAAAATTTCAAACTTCTGCGTAGAACTATAGTGTACCAAAGTTAGCTCTATGATATAAAGCAAATCAATTCAAAATCGGTCGAAATATGAAGGAGAAGAAGTATTTTTTGTGATTTCGAATAAATTTGCATAAATAAGCATAGATAACGAATTTCATGATTTTGTGTAGAAGTTTTAAATCCCCCTCCTAGCCCTATCATATGAAACAATCAGAATCAAAATCGGTTGAAAAATAACGTAATAGAAGCATTTTGAAAACTGTGGACGGACGCCACGCCATGGCATAAGCTCATCGGGCCCTTCGGTCCGGATGAGCTAAAGAGAGAGAGAGAGGGGGGAGTAGAGAAGAAGAGATAAAGTACTTGATACGCGTGTGATAAAGAATATAATAACGCAACTTGGAATGGACTACAACTTTGTTTAAAGATACTATGTCCCTTTTGCAGCCAACCTCAAATTCTGTAGAACTTTGCAGGAATAATGAATATGTCATGTATATCCTATCTGTGAAATTTAAACGTTAGCAGTGTCCTTATATTCAAATTATGCAAGAAAACCCGTTTACTTGCTAGACTTCATTGTCAGACACTATTGTCAGTATTGAGTGACTGACTGACTTTTTCTTCTTCTTTGGTAATAACATACATAAAATGAGCTGTAAAGGATTTGTCTACTACATAACCCACTTCTTTTAATGGCCAAAATTAAACTGATTGAATCTTTGCGCAGCATAAAACGTACGACCATGCGGTACAATGGTCGGAAAATCAGGACTATTACTTATTGGCTCTATAGCTCCTAAGTCGATTTGACAACTAATAGTCGTTATTTTCCCACTTAAAGACATTTTCAAGCCCCATTCTTTTAAGGGGAGTTCCAAATTAGTATTATCTTTCAAATGCCATTGGAATTTAACCTTTTCATTTTTTTTGGCCTGCAAAAGGGACATAGTACCTTTAAGTAGAGGATATTAACAAATGCGTGGCCGAAAATAACACGTGGACAGATTTTGTTTTGTATAGACCGTACGAATATAAAGGATGATGCGCATAAACGATGTTAAGGAAAAAAAATGTGATGACGAAACAGATTTATCTAATCCCCAGTCAAAATTGGAGAAAATGATATAGAACTATTGAACGTGAAAACGAAGATTAATAGGCCTTAAAGGTACTATGTCCCTTTTGCAGCCAACCTCAAATGCTGTAGAACTTTGCAGGAATTATGAATATGTCATTTATGTCCTATCTGTGAAATTTAAACGTTAGCAGTGTCCTCATATTCAAATTATGCAAGGAAAACCGTTTACTTGATAGACTTCACTGTCAGACACTATTGAGTGAATGACTGGCTTTTTTCTTCTTTGGTAATAACATACATGAAAAGAGTTGTAAAGGGTACATGAGCATTTTGTCTACATCAATAACCCGCTTCTTGTGATGGCCAAGATTAAACTGATTGAATCTTTGCGCAGCATAAAACGTATGACCATTCGGTACAATTGTCTGAAAATCAAGACTATTACTTTTGGGCTCTATAGCCCTAAAGTCGATTTGACAACTAATAGTCGTTATTTTCCCACTTGAAGACATTTTCAAGCCCCACCTTATTTAGGGAAGTTCTGAATTAGTATTATCTTTCAAATGCAGTTGGAATTTAACTTATTCATTTTTTTGGCCTGCAAATGGGACATAGTACCTTTAAGCGAGCATGAAAATATAGAAGACCAAGTTTAGACAAATCAAATCAAGTCTACTCGTACAATTTTGAGAAAAAAAAATCAGCCTGTACCTTAATGGAAAGACAACATAATATGCATGGTACTGACAAGTACAATCATCATCCTTTGTATGAGAGGGAAAATGGGCGTGGCGGTGTCCCCCCCCTTATGTCTGCTAACCTAACAATGACCCACCCTTCTTCTGTAAGTAAGGAGCCACATGCATATTAAATAGGATTGCAAATTCAACAACCACTTCAACAACTTTAGCAATGAAACTGGAACAAAAATATTTGCAATGCCTATGCTATCTGAAATTCTAAAGTTCGCTGTCTGTTCTGCAAAAAAAAGACAATTTATTGTGTGTTGACCGCCAAGAGAGAGAGAGAGTAAAGGATTATTGCAAGTGTTTGATCTGAATTGTTCGGCTCCATGTGTTTGGCTAACCGATATACAAACCGAAGGACCGGTTATGTAATCTGTGCTAGCCTTTAGCAAAGAAACGAAGGTTTTGTGCATCTGAATGAAAGTTAAGTCTGAAGTATAAGAGTAAACATTAGTCTCCAACCAGAGCTGTTTGTCTTTTATTTTCCGAGTACGGTCTCGGAAATCTATATAAAAATAATCAGTATAACTTATACTTATTTACAAAAACCACTTCTTATTAACTGACTGAAAATAATTTTGATTTGCAGAATTTTTAATGGATTTTAATCATAGATACTTAAACGTACGAAACAGATGATTTGTTTGTACTCTCAAGAAAATTTCGGAACCGGTATTAAGTGACAACATCAGCCTTACGTGAGGCTAGATAAAAGTACGTAATCAGAACTGAACGACTTTCTTTTAAATGAAAATGTACATTCTGCGGAACTCGGTAGATTCTCATGCCTGTGGCAGTCATAGTTCTCCTAAAATTACTGGATTTATCAGGGAATATTTGTAACGTTCTTGGAAAACGCATATTTTTTGTATAAAATACAACCTGTGCAATGATGAATATTGCTTATTTCATGTCTTGAACGGATAGTAAGATATTGGTGTTCTGCAACGGACCATTTTTGTCAATGGCAAATGCATGGATTTCAGCTGGCATCACCCTATGTATAGACTGATAACTGAACATTTGTATTACTTGTAAAGGACTCTTGTAATCAATGCATGGAACTGTTAAAAAAAATAATCAAGATAAGCATGATTAGTGAAAACTATTATATTCATGACAATGAGCGCTGATTCAAGACGGTGTCGCCAGAGAGAACGAGATGTTATATACGGATTTTAGCATAATATAATTGATTGCATTCTCCTGCGTATCATCGTCACAACCCAGTATAATAGTCGTCGGCATCATCTAATCATCATCATCGTCGTCATCGTCAGCATCATTATCCAACTAAGTCATTTGATTGTGTTACTTCATCCAACACCTGCAATATAATACCGCTTTAACTTTCATCGTGCTCTAGCGTATTAATACAATCGTCACTTTTACAGCTTAAATTTGGTTTTGACGACGACGACGGCAACGACAACGGTCGCGATGCCGAAGGTGGAATTGTCAGTTTCGTCTCAGTTTTGCATCCTGCTGGTCGTGCAGGTGCTCGTTTCTGTGGCCATCATAGGGACAATAACCTACATGAACCAGTCTAGAATTATTCCAGGTAAGTTGTAGGAAATTGGGTTTAGAATTAGAACAAATGTACATAGTGACTTCTGGGGAAACATTACCCCCCCCCTCTCTCTCTCTCTCTCTCTCTCTCTCTATAAATCTCATTCATTCTCCTTCTTTCCTCAGATTACTCTCTCTCTCTCTCTCTCACCATACTTTCTTTTTCTCTCTCTTTCTTTCCCCCTTATCTATCCTCCCCTCCCCTCTCTTTCTCCCATGCACCTCCTCTCTATTTACCTCTTTCTATTCTGATTTCACCCATATATATCCTTATCTTATTAAGCTATTACACATCGCAGTTTTTACTGGTCCCCCGTGATTTCTGCTCGTGCTCGTGAAAATTAGGCTATTTTGTTATTCTGCTGTTCATGCTCTTTTTTCCCTTGACATACAATATAACAACGTGGCAGTAATTTTAGAATGGAATATTGTCTTTGATTTTATCAATATGGACACATTAGAATAAGAAAATCAAGTCTTTGTAACACTGTTATGTTGGCAGAAAAAAGAAATCCCCCAAAGAGGGGACACCTCCTTACTCAAACATACAATGCAAATGCTGGGTTAGCTCTTGCAACAATAATGGATAGAAGCGGAAAGAGAGAAATGCATTTCTTAGGCTTTTGTTGCGAAACCTAAACAAATATGGGTTTGTCGCCGCAGTAGAGAGGTCAATAGGGACTTTTAAATTCTGCACGACGAGAACGTGGACTGCCCTTTAAAGGCAATGTGACGTCATTTTAAGGCACTGGCAGTGACGTCACATTGCCTTAAAAAGGCAGTCCGCCTTCTCGTCGTGCAGAATCTAAAAGTCCCTAATTACTGTTTGTGTGTAATGCCCGATTATACGTCATGTAGCGTAGTGCTGGACAATTTTTTTTCCATTCATTTAAACACTAAAAAACGACAGAAATGTCATTTATTTTTCAAGATGGTCTTTTATCTTTTAATAGCATCTATGATAATTTGTTACCCATTATATATTTTGAGGAGTGCCCCAGAGAGAAGGCCCTTATAGTCTTAAAAACAGAAATCAATGATATTTTTGTACTCGAAAAAAGGGAGTTGTCCGCTCATACGTCACAATCATATAACAAAATTTGAGATTCGCATAAATTTGGTGATCTAATATTTTAAACATTCAAAGTTCTCTTATTATTGTTCCGATTTAATTTTAAATTTCGCCATACTGCTTCTCTTATTTTTCTGCTTTCATACAAATAAACTCATACAAAGATTGGCTTGCCATTTAATTTAATTGTCTCTATGTTTTTGTTACTTTGTGTTGATGTGTTCTGTGTTGGGGTGCAAAGTTTACATCCCCCATCCTAAATTAATTTCTTTAGAATGATATTTTGACTCGACGTTTGTTATTATGACCTTATTTAATGTGCCTCTTTTAGGTTTTTATTCAATGTGCGTTTGGTACATAATGCTGAATATTCTGCAATTTTTGAAGCACTATAATTCCCTCCATGTTTGTTTTATTGGGTCAGTCTAATGTTGACCAGAACAATACAGTTCGATTTGATGTCTCTAAAGTCTCTAAAGTGGACGTTGAATAAGCCTATGGCTACGGTCCATGAGACTGACAGCTCACGTAAACGGTAATGTCGGTCGATCGCGAACTCTCAGAAAATAATATTCAGATTAAAAAACACGTTTGTTTCCATTTTGTAAGTCGGTTTTGACAAAACCGACGGCTCGCAAAAGACAAACAGCCCAGACCAGTAGACCCACGTGCTGGTCTCGGGGGGCATTCTTACAACTTTTGTTAGGGTTCAAGAGACCAAAATTAGGAGGCGCTGTGTATCAGTGGTGTTTGGAGCAGTGGTTTCATAACACTTAGGGTCGAGGTCTTTGAATCGAAACCAAGTCGATGTCCTAGAGCCCTTTAAAGCATTAATCCTCATTACCAAGTCCGTCGTAGACGACAAAAATCCATGGGTCAATTGGTTGCGTACTTATACCCCCGCCCCCCCCCCCCCACTCAGTGTTATTAGGGTATGCATATGCTCGTTCCCTCTTTTGAAAGCACCCCCTATCTGAGGACTGCCAACATTTCCGAACCCCCCTTTCGCCCCGGCCCCCCCCCCCCCCACTCAGTGTTATTTAGGGTACGCATATGCTCGTACCCTCTTTTTGAAAGCACCCCCTATCTGAGGACTGCCAACATTTCCGAACCCCCCTTTCGCGGGCTTTTTGCGGGCTTTTCCTGCCTTGGAGACCCCCCTAAATCAGGAAAAATGCTCAATGTACCCCCCTAAATTCGGAATAATTTCTCAGGATTCCAAAGAGATGAGAGAAAAAAAGAAAAACACCCCCTTTTTAAAGAAATCTCCGGGTGAAAAGTCAAATACACCCCTTTTTTTACAAATCTCGGGCCGGACTTTGTCGCACGAAAAGTACCCCTTTACCGGACATTTTGGCAACACGCATGCGGTCATTCCGACCTCTGAGTGGGGGGGCCGGGCCTTTCGCGGGCTTTTTGCGGGCTTCTCCTGATTTGGAGACCCCCCTAAATCATGAAAAATGCTCAATGTACCCCCCTAAATTCGGAATCATTTCTCAGGAGTCCAAAGAGATGAGAGAAAAAAGAAAGAAAAAACACCCCCTTTTTAAAGAAATCTCCGGGTGAAAAGTTAATACACCCCTTTTTTTACAATTCTCGGGCCGGACTTTGTCGCACGAAAAGTACCCCTTTACCGGACATTTTGGTAACACGCATGGGGTCATTCCGACCCCGGAGTGGGGGGGGGGGGGGGGGGAGGCGGGCTTATACCCATGCTTTCTTAGCAGCCAGGTAAAAGAAACATAGTCAACCAGACATTAGGCTGTCGATCTGCTATCCATGAGTCATGTGATGTCACAAAATATACTCAAAGCTCTTGATTTGTTTCTTCATGTGCTAGTTTTAATCAAAATCTACATCATCAATCATGACAACCCATTTATCCTTTCTTTATTTAATTCTTTGTGTCATCTTGTCATCTTGCAGGTCCAATCCAGCCTGACAATGGTAAGAATAGCCAACCCTCTATAGGCAATTATCAACTTCTCATTCAGAATGCAGACGGCCGCGGTAGCCAGGCTCATGGACAAGACGGAAAGGCCAACCCATTGGGCCAGAATCTTAAACATTTCAAAGACATCGTCAATTCTCAGATACAAAAAAGACCAACCCGTGATGATCAGACTGAGGCTACGGTGAAGACAGATGCGCCACCTCGAAGCAACAAGTTCGTGATCCTAACATCAGTGAACGCGGAGTTCGTCGACATCGCCGAGAATTGGTTGGAAAGTCTTCGACGATTGGGAATCCGGTACAACATCACGATGGTCGCGGAAGACCAGGACACCTTCAAGTACTTCTCTATCAGGGCCAACAGAGAGTTCCGGGTGCTTTACCAGAAACAGTACGCGTTCAACTTCACCCGGCGGTACGGCCCTGTCATGATGTACCAGGAACTGATTCGTCGCAGGACCGTGTACATCAGGACCTTGCTGGAGCAAGGGAACGACGTGTTGCTGGTAGATGTTGACACAGTGTGGATCAAGAACCCAGTTGACCTGATCTTGAAGGAGTACGCCCTCTACGACATATGGCTGGCCCAAGGATACGAGAACCACATACCGTGCCCATGTTTTATGTACATGAAGTCGACTTCTGAGGTCGTCGCCATGGTGAGAGAATGGGTCAAGCGATTGGAAAATCAACGCGGAAGGAGTTTGGAGTCGGACCAGGTTGCTTTGACCAAGGTTTTGCCCCTCTTCCCGGATATTCCGATCCAGAAGATGAGCTTCGAGAAATTCCCAACCGGTAAGCATTACTTCGATCGGGCGTGGCTGGCGCTTCACAAACAGGAGGTGTATGTTGCTCATGGTAATCATCTTGGGCGACATGATGGAAAGAAAAAGAAGCTTAAAGAATTCGGTCTTTGGATGCTCAATTATTGACAATAACTTTGATCGTCGTATTGAAATATAGTACAAGCTTGTTTTTGATCAACAGCAATGAATCAATATAAGATTGTGTGCACCTTTAAAGGGGCCAACTGTGTATCAATCGTTCTGTCAGTATAATTTATGGAGTGACAATTCATTCGACACTTATTTGAAATGATTTATTTAACTCCCATGTACATTATTTTAGAAGTTAAGCTTCTTCACAAAATGATAATCTTAGCATTAACTGATAACCGCAAGTCAAGCAAGGTAAAACACTTCAAGATCTATAATGCACGTGGCCATTGTCAAACTATTTTGAATGGTACGTTAGTGTGTATGATGTGGCGAAGGAATTGAACTGACGAAGACAAAAAGACAAAAAGAAAGAAAGACAAAAAAGGCAGGGTAGTTTACCGACATCGATACCACAGCTTTAATGTATTTTTAATTGCGCCATTGTTCGGTGAAGGCGTACGCAGAGCGATTGTTCGGTTCCTGTACCGAAGCATCATCACGCCGAGTGTCATCGGTTGGTGATGCATTATGGGACATGGCTGTCGACAAATCGTGCCATTCTGAGCAGCAATTATACGTAAATCCAAAGTAGTGTCAGTAAAATATACCCTGCCTGTGTCACGACGGCCAAAATCATAAACTCCCAACGGCTCATTCTGAGCAACAGACGTAGAGAGGAAGTTTGTACTGTCAATAGAATACCCTGCCTTTAATTTTTTTTTTCTCATTGCGGCAATAGTGATTAACTCACAATCATTAACATCGTATAATATAAGGATGTATCATAAAATGAAAATAATTTGAATGATGTTTATGGTAATAGAATTAAATTTTTGTAGCTAAAATGTAATAACACTATAGAACAAGAAACAATCAAATTAAGACTCACTGTGAAGTTTAAAAAACGGAAAAGGAATACAAAAATTGTATTAAGAAAATGTTCATATTCATAATAATATTATATATTATATCCTGCATCAAAAATTTGTTGGCTTATGATTGGTTGAGAGATCGTCACATGACCAGAAATATTTGACCTACTTTTAGAAAGTACTATACGAGAGTACTATTTTGGTTTACTTTTTGGGAGTTGGAAAAAAAAAAGAAAAAAAAAATTAAATCTTAATTTAATGAAAACAAAATATTTTAAATCTTTTTAGATAAAAATTGACATTTTTTTTGTCCTAAATTTTTTTTTCTCCCAAAATGTTTTTATTTTTTTAATTCTTTTTTTAAAATTAATTTTTGATGCATGATATAAAACAAATATACCATGCCTTCTATTCGAGGTACTGGTTAAAATATGGGCCTCGGTGACTCCAAAAGTACCATTTGCTTCGGGGCTGCGCCCCTCAGCAAATAGTACTATTGGAGTCACCTCTTGCGCATAGTTTTAACCAGAACCTCTCAAGGCAGTGTATATTTATATACTATTTATGGTATTTGCTGATAAATGAATACGGTATAGCAACCCATATGTAAGATTGGAGTTGAAGTTTGCTTATTTCAAAGTTGAAGAGTGAATCAATATGCCCTGAAATTATTATTTTCAAATTAAAATAGCTTTTTTGACATTCGAATGCATTTTTACACATTTTGCATTGACAATGATCATAGGATTTTGTTTATTATGAAATGATTACAAAAATTGCTATTAATAAATCCTCTTCAGGGCGGTTACAATACGTAATGATTTTGTAAATAGAAACCGTATGCGGATTGGGTAATACATGTTACTGTCCCGTTCGCGTCATTTTTTTTCTGCGGCACAGATTGGGGCTTTTTTTTTTTTTAAAGAGGTCTTGACTCAACCCTCACCCTAAACTTTCCCATAGGCTCAACACGCACATAACCCCAATGTGGGCCGCAGAAAAAAAATAACGCGTCCCGTTCGCGTACAAAATGGCGCACATAACGCACACGAGTACTGAAATTTCCTTTGGGCCGATTTTGATACATGATGCATTTTACACGCAAGTATATACATAAAGTGTGCAGGTCATTATTTTTCGCTATACTGCCCAGCAGTGAGTAGCAAATTTGATGCCTGCAGGTTAGACCAATTAATCAGATGCCTAGTATAATTATTATAGCAGTATATGAAAATGTATAAATTTAATGTGCCGCCATCATGTGACACTTTCATCAGTATCGACCAACTTTTCTGTATTCGTGCACGGACCAAACCAACTGTTCCACTTCTCACGTCTGATATCGACCGAAATTTGAGTAAAAAGAAGCGATAACTTCAGTCGGCTTGCGGTGTACGCTGCATTGTTGATTCCATCCCATGACATGCGCTTGGTGCATGAATCTAGCAGACAGAATCTGGAATGGATTGATGAAATAAGAAGAGAGAGGGGATTAGTAGAACACTCCCAGTGTCATATTTTAGGACAAATACCTTATCAAACCACCTCTAGGACAACTATATGCTCAGACATCTACACACTAAGAAAAAATGGTGCAAGTAGGGGTGCAAACCGATGTAACACTGGCAGCACCTTTAGGGGTTAAATCCTGCACCCTTTTTAAAGGTGCAATCCTGCACCCCCCCCCCCCCCTCCCCACTCCATGAACGGAGGGATACCATGCGTGTTACCAAAATGTCCGGTAAAGGGGTACTTTTCACGCAACAAAGTCCGGCTCGTACATACACAAACAACACTTTACACACCGGACTTAAAGGGTGTTTTCAAAAGGAGGGAACATGCATATGCGTACCCTAAATAACACTGAGTGGAGGAGCCGGGCCTGCATGGGTGCCAGATTGAACCTTTTTGGGGACATGTGCAAACCGATGCGACACTAGCAGCACCTTTATGGGTTCAATCTTGCACCATTTAAGCCCCACTGTCCTACTTGTAGCTACTTGCTCCCTCTATATAGAAAACTTCCCCAACCGGTGCCTGTTCGTCCCCCATGATCCTCTTTTTCTTATGTTAGTTGAGAGCTGACTTAATGAGATAGCCACCTGTCAGTGACCTCGTTGTGTGGTATAATCCCTTCTGGCCCAGTAGTGTTGACGGTCTTTAAGAAGGTGCTAGATTGAACCTTTTAGGAGACATGTTAGCACCCTTAATGGTTCAATTCTACTCCATTAGGGGTGCAAATCGATGTAATAGCAGCACCTTTATGGGGTTTAATCCTGCACCAATACTCGAGGAATACTCGTGAAATTTGCTCGTACACAAATACATATTAAACATGCATGTTGTTTCTTGGTTAGTAATCATCTGTTGCTAAAAATGTGAAAGTAATTGTAACATGATCAGACAAAATAATCTATCGGTTAATGATTGCCGAAGGAAAATACAAATCACAAAATTGATGTACATTGTCATAATTTGCTTAACAAATCATGATAAATGTATTTTTATGTGAACACGTGTAAAGTAATCATGAATATGCATGCATTATGCAATCTTTTATTTTTGCACCCTTTTTTGGTCGGTAGGGTTAATTTTTGTGGGGAGGGTGCAAAATATTATATTGCACCCTTTTTTGAACCCCTTTTCCTTCAATAGGGTTCATTTTTATGTAAAACTCTTATTTAGAAAAAAACGCGGGAAAAGACGCAGGAAAAAAATGAGGATGGCATACCTGTTCCGAGATGAATATGCAAAACTTGAGCATTTGCAACTTCAGAAGAGGTACAAGGTTTCGTATTAAAATAGACAGATGGTTGTGCCGATTTCTGAACGGGATAACGATGGCTACCTGCAAATAATTTAACAAAACAAAAAACAAAAAACATTTAAAGTACAACCGAACAGTATTGTGGGTGACATGAGATTGCGTAAATGCCATTGCCATTATGCATTTTCACATTGTAATTGCCAGTGTCAGTGTCAAGCCATTGTAATGAGCATCCATTATTCCCTGATCAAACAAAACTTGGGGTGGGGCACATCACATGTTCCTAATGCCACTTGTAATTGCCACTGCCATTGCAAATATACACTTTTGGTCATTAAGGTGGAATAATTATTTTTACCCCAATTTTTGGAATGATTTTGACAATTATTTATTCCTAATAGATCTAAATAAAAGTAAACATTCTCATATTTTATTGAATTATAATTTGCGAGTGTTTGTTGTGCGTGACTTCTAAAGCATGTGTGTGCTACTATGCTAATCAACTGGGGGACCTACGTCCTTAAGTCAAAACTGACTGTAATGAGGATTAATGCCTCACAAAAGGGCACTAATATAGCACATCGACACGGTTTTGACCGGGGGAGGGGGGCTCACAGTACGAGGCCATTGCTTATCCACTGAATCATGAATGTACACAGCGGGGGCTAGGGCACGTTGCCGCCCCCACAAATACACAACAAAATGCAATGCGTTATCACTCATTTTGCCCCGACCCTTAACATAACAAAATCCTCTATATGTGGGCATGCCTTGAACCATGATGCATGGCCCTACAGAAGAATGAATACAATATAATAATATGTCCAACAAATTCGCATCACCAACACTGTTACATGCAGGCCCCGCAGAACTTTTTTTCGAATTTGGTGGGGGAGGGGCTAAAGTATTTACGTTCAGGTAGAGCGTAGCGAGCGAAGCGAGTGAAGCGTAAATTGGCGTGGGGTCCAGGGGAAAAAGCCCCAGCGGGGGGGTCAAGGGGCGGACCCCTCGGAAGCTCAGGGGTTTTAGGCATTTGATTACGGTAAGATGAGCATATTTTGATACCTTATTTGTCACACTAACAGGTCACTAATTAACGTGGGGTCCAGTGGACTGAGCCCCATGAAGCTCAGGGGTTTTAGGCAGTTAATAATGGTCAGATAAGCATCCATGGGAACGACTTAGGTCCTCTAATGGGGTTGAGAGGGCGGAGTCCTCGCATCTCAGGGGTTTTAGGTATTTAATTGCGGTCAGATGGGGATATTTTGATACCTCATAATTTTTGTGGCACTGGCAGGTCACGATTTTTCTTTCTTCCTTTCTTTCTATTTTAATATCTTAAACATACTTTTTTTTTAAAGTGAGGGAGTGGCTCGAGCCCCCAGCCCCACCGTTCCGCGGGCCCTGACATGTAGGCTTCTAAATAAGAAAACTTTGGCCTGACTGCAAACTTGGGAAAGTGTCATTTTCCAGCAAACAGATAAAAAAGTATAATTTACAAACCAGTAACAAAATATGCCGGAAAATCATGTCATTTCAGCAAAATTTGTAAATCATTGGTATCGAATTAGAAATAAACAACGTATGATTTTTTTTTTTTTTTTTTTTTTTGGGGGGGGGGGGGGGCACGCCCCAAAGCCCCCCCCCCCAACCTATCAGTACGCCAGTGCGGCCCTACCTTGTCATGTTCTATAGACATAGGCCATGTCATGGTGGAAAAGTCTTCATCCCGGGAATAGGATGCCAATGGAGGCCTAATGTGTAAAAGAGTTCCCAACCTATAAACGTTATAATGAAAACTTATGGTAAACTAAAACCCCACTGTACTCTTCATAAGAGATTAGGGATGGGATCAGGGATGGGGGTGGTTAAAACCTTCGATACGGGGCTTGCACATGACATCTCGATCATTCCGTGACGAAAAACCCGAAGGTTATACAAATTGAATTTGACCTTATTACATTTTTAAAAACTAAAATGTTACCGATTGAGCTAACTTGTTTAACAATCTATATCATGTTATTTCTAATCTTATATATCTTACCTATATGCTACATCATATCGTAATCTATCCATATCATATATTCCCATAGTAATAACATATTGTTTTTATCATATTCATACCTTGTCACATCAATACTATATCACATCGTATCTTTTCATTTGATATAATATCATAATAATTATTATATCATATATATATATATATATATATATATATATATTAATATCATATCTTTTCATATAAAACATTATATTCTTGCATCACATGATATCGTAACTTATAATAAATATTTTGTTATCATTTCGTGCAATGTTAAGTCAGGTGATATCATATTTAGATCA